AATGTGTCTGCTGCTTCGCTGGTCCATACAACATGAGGCTTGAGTGCAAAACTGTTGCTTAACAGTTGCACAACATTTTCAATTTTGTGGAAATCAGCAAATCGTTTTTTTAAATTCCAAATCAAGTTTATTAATAAAATGTGAGAACTATATAGTCCTCACTAAACTAAGTTTATTACTCCTTACTTATCTAGTAAGGAGTACTTAAAGTACTCCTTACTTATCATTAACTCGCGCATATACACCAAATTAGAAGAAAACCTGATTAAAATTCAATTTGGATTCAGAGCAGTACTCGGAACGAGGGAAGCACTTTTTACTTTGCAAGTTCTAATACAGAGAGCCAGGGATGTCAACTGCGATGTGTATGCATGTTTCATTGATTTCGAGAAGGCATTTGATCAAGTCCCACATAGACACTATACAGAGACCGTATACTCAAACATATCTCCAACAAAAAGCAACAGTATGATTAGAAAATGAACTGTCCGAGATCTTCACATAGAGATGTCCGAGGCATTATTTAACATATACTCTGAAAACATCTTTAGAGAGGCCTTGGATGAATTAAAAGATGGGATTGCTGTAAATGGCCAACTTATAAACAACATTATATATGCAGACGATATAGTATTGCTGGCAGATAGTGCCCAGGGGCTCCAAAGGATGATGGATAACGTTGTAGAAGCATGTAACAAATACGGCCTAAAACTTAACTGCAAGAAAAAAAAAGTAATGATCATTAGTAAGAACACTGGCATAAATGTCTAAATTACAAGTAACGATACATCGTTAGAAAGGGTGGAAACATATGCTATTTGGGCAGCAATATTAAGGATACTTGGGATCACAGCTGCGAAATAAAAACTCGTATTGAAAAAGCCAGAAGCTCTTTCAACAGCCTTAGGAACATTTTCTGCAACTTATCTTTAAGTATCAATATACGTATAAGAATTCTTAGATGTTACGTCTTTAGTGTCCTCCTCTATGGAGTAGAAAGCTGGAGCCTTACAGAAGATGCCATAAAACGATTGGAGGCATTTGAAATGTGGTGCTATCGACGTATGTTGAAGGTGTCATATATACACCACACAAGTAACATAACTATTCTCCAGAGGCTAAGAAAAGATAAAGAAATTATTAACACCATAAAAACAGAAAATTGGCTTACTTCGGCCACATCGTGCGTAATGATAAATACCGACTTCTACAGTTGATTCTACAAGGCAAGATTGAGGGTAAGGGAGGCCCTGGACGTAGACGTATATCCTGGCTGGTCAATCTTAGGAAATGGACTGGTCTAACGTCAACTGATCTATTTCGAGCTGCTGTGAATAGAATAAGATAGGTCAATGTGGTCGAAGAAGAGAACTATGTAACATCAATATCTTTATTATTATCACAAACGGATTTAAGAAGAGAAAACGCAAAAGTTCTGCCTTAATATCCTCAGAAAAAGTTCAATCTTTTTAGAAAAACTTCTAATATCCAGAAAGTTCACAAAGCAGTTTTTTCTTGCAATATAGTTTTAATTTCAATAAGTTCAGATGTCCAAGACGAAGCCCAATTGATCATTTGCAGCTTCATTCAGCATCAATAGCTGCAGCTGCATTAATAGTGGACAGAAATTTTTTATGTTTAGTATTACGAGTATTTCTATATAGTATTATTACTGTGCATTTTTAAAAATTTATATATTTAGATTTAATCATAATTTTATTACTACATTGAATTTAACGGCGGTTCACAAAAAACAAGCTCACGGTCCGGATGCGGACCGCGGTCTGCCATTTAGTGACCCCTTCTAGCTTATGATCTAGAATTTATGATAAAGCGTCTCTACAGGGAACATGTAAAATGGGGGTTACAAATCAGCATGAAGAAAAGGTTCTCATTCTCATTCAGATGCAAGGTTTAAAGTGTTGATAGACGAGGACGTGGAAATCAAACAAGTGGAAAAATTTAAATATTTAGGTGCACTCATTGATAAGAACGGCTCGGGAGAAAGCGAAATTAAACACCGGAATTAATCAGGGACGTAGGATATCTGAACTTCTTATGATGAGATTGCAACATTTCCAAAAGAAAAAAAAAAGAATACGCAAACCATGGTTGAATTAGTTCTAGGAAATAACATGAATGCTACAGAAACGGTCATTGACATAATAGGAAAAAGAGGTTTAAAATGCTTTGGACACCTATTGAGAATACCTGACGATCGTTGTTCTCAAAAACTTGATAGATGGAACCCCCTGGAAGAAGAAAAAGAGGTAAACCTCGACGCTCATGGAATGAAGGAATTAGAAGAGCGATGGAATCGAGAGGTTTGGAGAGGTTTGCCGCAATGTTTGCAACTATCATCATCGATAACTTTTTTTTTTAATAAATGGCATGGGTAGCATGCATGTCCAAAGCATAGTCGATTTATAGTAGTAATATATTTACGATGAGCTTTGAAATTCTGAAACCAGGTTGTTTGAGGTGTAATTGATTGTAAAGAGTTATCCCTTTTATGGTTTCTAGAACAGTAATGTTCCCATTGCTCTTTCCATCTACATTGCTGATTTTTTTGAAAATCGTAGTAACATCTGATGTATTAAGCATATATGTATATCAACGTAGAGCCAGTTGTTACACTCATTTTAGCTAAATGATCTACATATTCATTATGTTTGAGACGACCAGTATGTGCTCTGACCCAAATAAATTTTATGTTGACTCCAGTCGATGATACATGATACAATCGATCTTTTATATCAAATATGTAGGGGTTGCTAAATGTTGAAGGGCAGTTCAATGTTTTTTATGCTCTGCAAAACTGAAAGGCAATCTGACAAAATTAAAATATGTCTATTGCAGGTGTTTTTAACATATTTTAGAGCTTCAAGTACAGCTATTGATTCCGCTGAAAAGATTGAAAATGCATTTGATAGTTTATACTTGATTTCTACGTTTGTAGCAGGTAAAAAGTATGCGCATCCAGTCCCTTCTGTTGTTTTTGATGCGTCCGTGTATATTACCGTGGCTTCCCTGTAACCCTGCAGTAGAGATTTTAGAAGTTTGCTACTCATAATGGTGTTCTCACTATAAGTGGGTATTATAACCTCAGTTCTGTGGAATAAAGAGAAGTAAAATTTCTGAAAAAAATAGGATTATGTATTCTGTAATGCCATGCATAAAGGCGAGGAAGGTTTTTTCTCCCAATATTTATTTGTAAGATCTGACTCGTTAAGTTGACGGACGCTTGAAAATAACTGGTAGTTAGTTAATAGAATTTTAAGAAGGCTTTTTTAACTTAAAAAGTTTATTCTATTTTCAAGGGGTAGCTCAGCGGCTTTTTAACATATATGGGTTGTATAGGGGTTGATCTCGTAGCACCCAAACATACCCACATAATATAATTTAGAAACGTGTCAATTTTTTTTAAAGGTTCTTGGAGGTGGAACCATACCGAGTAGCACTGTAATCTAGAATAGATCGTATATAAGCGCGATAAAACAACAAGGATGTTTCTTCAACGCAACTGCACCACGGTTTAGTTGTCATTCTGAGAAAATTGCTGCCTTTGTTACATCTATCAAGCATGTACTCTATGTGTTGTCTTCAAGTTGACTTCTTATCCAAAATAAGGCCTAGATATTTGACATGATTTTGAAGCTTAAAACATTGATGGTTCAGAATGATGTTTTCATTTGTAGAAATGTTATGTCTTGTGAAGATAGATACTACTGATTTTTCTATAGATAAATTGAGACCATTCTCTGAGAACCACGAAAAAAGGGATTCACATACTTTGCTAATCGAAGAGATAGTTTAATTTTATTTTCAAAGGAAGGACTTTCAGACTTTAAGCCCTAAAGGTTAAATAAAGGTTCAAGCTCCTAAAAAGGGGGTCAATTGACACATAATGGTCAAGGATGTTTATATTATTTCTTATGGTCTCTCTCTTCAGTCTTGACCCCCTGAGGGGAGTGTAGTGGTCGTCCTAATATCCTGTATGGTTTGCCTTGATAGATTTTTGTCCCTGGTCATTTCCGTTACATATTAGATAAGTCTTTTGCAACTTCCTGTGATCTGGATAATGCATCTCGTAATAGATCTTTCTTTTACCATCTATCTTCCCTTGAATGAAGAGTTTCTTCATATTGTCTATGTCTGTTCGCATTACACGTCCAAAATATTTCAATTGTTGTAGTTTGACAGGAGAGTTCCATAAGTTCCGGAGAGTCTCTTCTAGATCTTCAGTTATTTTAGAATAGAAGTATTTGTTCTACGGTTGTTCCATGGAATTCGCACCTTTCTTCTTCAGCAGAACATTTAAGTGGTCTATCTTTCTTGTTTTTGATTGTCTTTGTGTCCACGTTTTGCATCCATGCAGTATTTTTTTATTGTATATATTATTTTTCTGTATAAAATAAATAAATTGATTTATTTCTCTTTATTTTGTTTATAAATATGTCTAGGCAAAAGCATCGCAGTACCTGCAGGATAACCACAGTTTTAGGTTTCGTAGACCACTACTTACAAGATATTTACACGGTGTGTATCTGATGCGGATGTACCCGGCTCAAAATACAAAAATACATGTGCAACTAAATCAGTGTGGCGCGTGTATCCATGATGGATACATTTTGTATTTTACAAAATGACATTCTCAGCAAAATTCAGCTTATTGGTATGTTTTTTAACGGTTCAGTGGCATTTTCAACTCTGACGACTGGAGTATCTAGCAAGTATTTAAGTATAGAAATTACATCACAATATTTTGGGTTTACTACAATTTATAAATATTTTTTCGTTATTGTCACATTTCCACAGTAAATATAGCAATTTTATCTACATAATATCTCTTCAACTCAGACACATGTAGTATGTGCAGATATTATTATTTGTAATTACCCACGCCGAAAAACTATTAAAATCTAATATGTTTTACAATGTAAAATACGTATATCTGCATAAATATTGATAAGAATAAAGGGTTATACTCATTAGCTACACACAACACCTAAGTCGCGTTTTTAAACTACAAAGAACGCTTTTTGTTTTTATAGATCGAAAGTGCTACATCAGCAAAATAAAACTGCAAAAATATGAACAACAAAAGAATAATATTTAAAGAACTGCCATTAGAGATTGAAGATGTTGACAAAGAAGCATATGAAAAATTCAAAGTGCCTAATCTTAAACAATTCGGTAAGTATTTTTTAATGTTGTTATTAATATATGCATATTAATGACTTTTTCCATTTTTTATATGCAATTGTAACCAATTTGAAGAGGACTCTATACCGCATGCTGGAATGAATATTTTCCTCTTTATTAACTAACTTATTTTTACCAAGTAAGAAAATCACTTGGACATTCCACTAATATTAGCTAAACAAAATAAATCTTCTAATTCTTTGCTGAGCTAAACAATTTGTGTGTAGTTTCAATTTCTTTTCAAAAGTAAGTCATGTTTTCCACTTTTCCTAAGGGGAAAATTCACTCATTCCAGATATCTACTGCTACGTTAAAAAAAACGGAGAAAGCACGAGTCCTTGTCTGACTCCAGTAAGTATGTCAAATTCGTCGCTGTTGATTCCATTGTGTGTCACGCTGCATTTTGCCTTAGTCTACAGTGACTTTCTAATAAAAATTATTTTATATGGAATGTTTCTTAACTCTAAAATTTTCCATAAAGGAGCATGAGATAAGGTTTTCGAAGGCATGCTCCAAGTCAACAAAAACCATTGATAGGGGTGTGTTCCATTCAACCGATTGTTCCATTATTACCCCCACAGTATTAATGTATTAATGATGTAGTTGATGCGATAAAGAGGAGATGAAGGAGTTAAGATGGTGAAGGTGAGGTATAATCGAATAGGATTTACATTATCCCCTCCTTAGCGGTAAGAAGTTTTAGGTGTTTATGGGAAAATCACACAATATTATTATGGGCGTTATCCTATTCCTCTCCAGCGTAAAAAAAGATAGCAGACATATTCAAAAGAAACAAATAATGTCATTAGTCTTTATCAGCTTCTAAAATAGTTGGGTGAGAGAGATTAAGATTTTAACGGCACATTCACTGAATTTATATAGTGGGAGACAATTATATAATACAATGAAGAGTAGAGCTATATTAACGTTTCTACAAATTAATAGAATTAATTTCACATGATTCAATAAAGAACACTTTTGTTGTAGAAGGTATTCTAGTAGGCCCTAAGAAATATTACTGCCATCCATGTTACAAGGATATTGGATTGGAATGTTACAATTTCGAGGCAAGATCCAATGACGTATATATATTAGGAATAATGAGATCTGGTTGGTATCACTTACTGCTTTACTACTTTAGTATAGTATAGTATACATATATATATATATATATATATATATATATATACATATATATATACATATATATATATATATATATATATATATATATATATATATATATATATAGTTTTCTTTTTGCGGGCGTAGTATTTATTGATTAATTTATAATTAAAGGTACAACTTTAGTATCAGAATTGGTATACTTATTGGTTAATGATCTGAATTTTCAAAAAGCTGCTGGTGAAGATCTTCATGACAGAGTTCCAAATTTAGAGTAAGTAATTTTGAGAACTTGTAATTTTTTCTGGATTAACCCAACACGAAAATAAAAAAGCAAGTTTGTTAATTTTTTATTGTCGTTTCTACTGCTAAAGTGAAACAAATTTTCAAAAAAATTGTAATAATAATTATAGGTAATCCTAAAAAATACTTGCATATCTGGTATTATCCTAAACTTTTAAATCGCTCGATTTGTTGCAACCTATTACCATTTATATACTTATAATAATTTTATCTCTTCCTCTTCTTCTTCTTTTGATGTATACATGACTCTGTCGGTTTTTCAATGTATCTCCAGTTGTCATTCCAAAGTTTTCATGGTCTTCCCACTTATCGTATTCCTATTGGGGAATCATTTGTTGTCATTCGGCTAATATGATCATTCTGTTCTACTTTTCTATTTCTTAATTAGTTCTTGATGTTCTCCACCTTGCATCTGCGTCGTATATGGGTACTTCTAGCTCTGTCCCTCTGTCTAGTATCAATTGTCATATCATCTTTCTGCCGCGTATTTCATTATTGGTCTGATGGCTGTTTTGTAAATTCTGCCTGTCGTTTCTTTTTCGATTATATTATTTCTCTATATTGTTTCATTCAGGCAAACTGCGTTTTTGTTTGCTCTATTCACTTGATCTTCCACTTCCGTTTCCAGCTTTTTGTAGCTGGATGATGTGATGCCGAGATATTTAAACTTTGCCAGCTTCAATAGGGTCGGTAATTTCTTCTTCTACTTTTAATTTTATTGTGTTGTTTTGTTAGATATTTTCGATGGTTTTGATTATTCCTAAAGACATCTTTTTTGTGGACAATAAGTGAATAACGTCCTGTAATTTTACCCGGTCAAATGCCTTCTTAAGATCCACGAAACACAGATATGCCGTTTGATTGTATTCTAATGATTTCTCTTATACTTGCTTCATTACAAATATGGCGTCGATGCATGATCTTCAAGTCCTAAAACATTGATGTTCTTCTGGTAGTGTTATAATTTCATTCAGTTTATTTGTTATCATTCTGGTTGTTAATTTTAGTGTTGTATTTACTAAATTTATTCCTCTGTAATTTTCCGGATCTTATTTGTCTACCTTTTTGAAGAGAGGTATTAGGATGCTTGATCTCCATTCTTGAGGAATAAATACAATAATTTTCTCTCATTTATTATATTTCTAATATAGTGTCTAATGTGTCTAAGTTATATATGTTTTTTATCCTATACAAAAACAGAAAATAGTATTTAGATGAAATGGTTCAAGAGTATATAATCACAGTCATTGTGAGAAATACTGTGTGCATATACGAAGGTATAATTTATTGTAATCCTGACGTCTTCTTCTTCAGCCTTAAGTAATCCAACTTTGGACATAGGACTCCCCCAAATCAATCCAGTGTCTTCTATTTTGAGTTTTTCCTAACCATGGTCTTCATTGTTGTATTTCGTGGTTCCATATTTTATCCTTGAGTTGGGCATTGTGGCTTGCGAAGCTCCATTTTAATTTGGCAGCATGTTCTCCTGCGTCTTTTACTTTGGTTTTGCTTCTAACCCATTTGTTTGTTTTTTTGTCTGTAAGTCTCACCCCGAGCATTGATCTTTTCATCAATCTTTGTGCCTTTAATATTTTATCCATATTAGACTTGGTGAGTGACCATGTCTGTGAGCCATACGTGAGTATAGAAAGGATACACTGATCGTAAATTCTGGTTTTCAAATATTTTTCTATTTTAGTTCTTTTTAAGATCCAACTTAGTTTTTCAAATCCTGTTTCTAAATTCATGTAGTTCAACGTTATTTCTCGAATGTTCGGTCTATTTGTCGTTATTTTTGTTTTTCCAAAGTTATCTTAAGATTTATTTTTTCTGAAGCTTGAAATAGTTGTGTTATCATGGTCTGTAGTTCTTCGAAACTTAACAATATTACAATGTCATTAGCGTATCTCAAATAACTTAATTTTCTTCCACTAACATTTATTCTTTTATCTGCCCAGTTAATGTCTTTAAACACATCTTCCAGTCCAAGTGTAAATAGCTTTGGTGAGATAACATCTCCCTGGCAAACTCCTCTGTTGATTGGTATAGCTATGGTTTTCGCATCTATTTGTATTTTCATTGTAGCTTTCTTGTAAATATTATGTATGAGCATTCTGTATCGGCAGTCTATCCTGCAGTTGTTCATAGCTCTCTCTATTGCCCAAAGTTCTATGGAGTTAAATTCCTTTTCATAATCAACGAAGCCAATGTATAAGTTCGAGTGATATTCATTGGCTTTCTCTATTAGCATTCTGACTGCAAGAAGATGATCCGCTGTACTGTAGCCCTTTCGGGGTTGCCTGCTCTACCGGCTGATAGCTATCGAGCTTCGACGTTAACCTGTTAGTTATTACTCTCATAAACAGTTTGTACATTTGGGACAGCAAGGAGATTGGCCTATAGTTCTTCAGATCTCCCCTGTCTCCCTATTTGAAAAGAAGTATTGTTAAACTTTCATTCCAATCAACTGGTACTTCTCCTCTGTGAAGACATTCGTTTGACATTTTTAATTCTTTGATAATAATTTCACCGCCCTCCTTCAACATTTCTACAAGTATTCCATCTGAGCCTGGAGCCTTATTGTTCTTTAGTTGTGTCATAGTTTGTTTTATTTCGAAGGATTTTATGTAAGGAGTATTTCTGAGTTGACATTCATTATCTTTCTCTTAAGGTCTTCCTTTGCTGTGTTATCTAGGTTCTTGTTTGAGAAATATAAATTATGGTAAAATGTTTGAGTAACTTTTAGAATTACATTCTTTTCTCTTATTTCTTTTCCATCTTTATCCTTCGCTGAGATTATTATAGGCTTTCCTTAGTTTTATCGTAAGCATTTCAGGCCTCGCTTCTTTTCGTTTATTTTTTCTACCTAGTATTTATTGTAGATCCCTAAATTTTCCTTTGCTCTCTTCTTTATTTGTTTATTGAATTCCTGAAACCATTGGTGTTTCGCTTTCCGTCGCTTAAAAATGTGCGTGTCTTTTCCATCAACGTTTTGTTCCATCACCTATTCTGTCTTCTATATTTATTATTTTCTTTGCAACAGTCAGTACTGCTTTCAAGAGCTTTCGTTGCATTTCTTTGTTAATTGTGTTCATGTCGGAATATTCTGGATGATAGCGTTTTACAAATTCTTTTCTTAAGACTTCTCTGTACTCATCTCCCTTCTGTCGTATTTTAGTTTGATCTATCCGATTACAATAATTATGAAGCCTGCTTTTACTGGTTTTCGTCTGTTTAACAATAATCCTTACTCTTAAAAGGCGGTGATCGCTGCAAGTTGTGAATCGATTGAGAGCAGTTATATTTTCAAAAATGTCTTTGTTCCCACACAAGATCTCGTTTTCCGTCTTTTTATCGGAAGATATCCACGACCATTTTCTGTTTCCTAGTTTCTTGACGTGTGTGTTCATGGCATGTTAATTTTGTTGTTTTAAGAAATTTTTCTCCTCTTTCATTTTGTGTGCCCTAACCATGCATTCCTATGTTAGTTTCACTATCTTGGATAGTTCTACTTTTAATTCGTAGACCGTTACATCTTTAGCCATAGATTGCATGTTGTATGTGGCTAACTGATTTTATTTTGTTCACTTTGTTAAGCTTGTGCCTCCCCCAGAATCCGTGAGGCTGAGCGGTTTTCCGGTGTGGGATTATGGGCTGCTAGCTCTACAAACCTGGGGTATCGTCTCATGTTGTTTTAAGTTAAACATGTTGTGTTTTGAGGGGTATATTGGCATTAAAACACCACGCTTGTCGGACGGGTTGGTGAGTGTTCGCAGTATCACAGCGAGTTAAATCAGTATTTTATTTTCTCCTGCGACTTTGTGGTACCGCATCTGTCAGGAATTGTACTCCTCAGTCACGGGTCACTAATGACACAGCTGCTGACCTATGTCATGTCCTCAGTTGATCCGCGGGTACTTATTTGGCGAAGCATTTATATCTGTCCTGCATATATATAAGAACGTTCCCTATCAGCCATCGGAACGTGCCGTGTCGGGATTAAGGACTTCACCGCCCAGTCTGTCTTGCACAAAGTACTGAAGGACTTCTACTCAGTTTAGCGTCCCTCCTCTACATAAGCTGTGACTGGCACGAAGTTTATTTTAACACATTATCTTTATAATTATTTTGGTTTAGTCTGTATACTTCAAAGTTATTGATCATAACCACCCAGCGGTAAACGTCCATTGCTGAACGGAGAACTCTTTCTTTTGACAAATATCTCTTTTTAATTTTCTTCGTTTTTCTTAAATCGATTTAGTGGTCGCCAAAAATATCATTTGTTCTCACATGGTCTTCATTTCAATAGCCTGTTTTTCATCGACCATCTGGCATTCTTGCATTGTATCTCGCTATTACTGACTCCTAATTGGGTATTGCAGAGAAGTGTTAAAAGAAATGGTGCAGATCTTATAATATAAAGTTGTTGAAATGAAATTAAAAATGAAAATCATTTTCAGTGCCTACTTAATATATAAAATATTTGTCGGTCATAAGGCAGTTTTTGGATATGGCTTTTTAAAGTTTGACACAACTTCATTACTAAGGGACCATGTCAAAACGTTAGACAAAGAGGTAAACCAAAGATGTATACGTACACATATTCCAATAAGTCTGCTCTCTCCTCATATCTTTGATGTTGGTGCAAAGGTAGGTCCTGTAATATTCTTTTAAATATATTTATATTTGAAACCGTCACAAAATAATAAGAAGTTTTATTGTACAAATACCAATTGGTTCCATAGGTTTTACAATTAAAAAAGAAGGCTAGGAAGAAAAAAAAATTTAAATCTTGCGTATAAATTATGCTTTTTTTCTTCAAATGTATATATTTAGGATATGTTAAATCATCCTTTCTAGCTTTCATTTAAAACTTGCTAAATTAAATTTGGCCCTTTATTTAAATAATTATAAATAAAGCTTTAAAAACAAATTTTAAAAAAATATGCGCATTATAAATAAAAACTATAAATATTTAATTTTACAGGAAAAGTTGCGTTGTATTAACAATATCAAGCAAAAAGAATTTGGTTGAAAAATATTCAGTAGTTTTAATTTGTTTCTTAAATGTTACTACAGTAGTACCTCGATATACGAGTGGCCTAATATAGGACTATAATATAGGACGTATAATTTTGAGATACGAGCTGCCGAGCGAGTGATATTTTGGTTGGAGATGAGAGCAAGATTTGAAATTCGAGATATCGCACACTATACCGCTCCACACGTCCCCAACATGCGTCCTGCATGTCCCGCATGTTGGAGTCTTGTACAACGTCTAAACAGTTTCTCGCATCTCAGACTAGACTTCAGTATGTGTGCTCGTTTCCCTCCTTTTTATCACATTTATTTTTATTACCATGGATCCGAAGAAGATTATGTATATTGAATTACAGCGTGAAATCATACAAAGG